CGGCAACGTTACCGTTAATTGAGGCAGGAGAAAGAGCAGATGACTCCGCCATGATAAATCAAATATGTTCGACGTAAAATCTGTGTTTTCGTTAACAATAATTTTAAAACTTCATTAAACAAATATTAAATTATATAGAATATTATTTTCTCTTCTTTTTCAAACTTTCCACTTCGGCACCAACTGTTTTTAATTTATGTACTAAGCAATTTTCATTGATTTAATTTGCTTTAAAATGTCTACACGACCCTTTTTATCTCTTCCTGCTTGCTCTTCGCGTTTAGCAGTTTTGACGTTTTTCCATTTTCGTACAATTTTGCAGTGGATTGTTTTTGTTGTTTTGCTTTGTTTTCATGCTATTGTGGAATTGGCTTGTTCATTTCTTGAGTGAAAAAAAGTCATTACAATCCACATATATTCATTCAATTCTTTTCAAGTGTGTTTTTGTTTTTCATTTATCCACAGATGTGACTACTTATGCGTATTAATTTTAGGCTCACATTTCATACTTTATTATTATTGTATTAATCACTATTTTAGTTAATAAATAATGTACGAATTGCACACATCTTATGGATGTTGTGCAAAGACCACTAACACTAACCACGCTTGTATGCTTTCAGCTGCTGCTGGAGAACGAATGAACACGAAGTACACCAATAAAATGGCTTGAGCTCAAAATTCACGGCAAGTGTGGGGAATTAAATTGCAAATTTAACCACGAATTTGAATAGTCACAATTTTTTACTGAGAATAATTATTAACATTGAATAATACAAACTCCAAATAATTAAAAACGTGAAGAACTTACATTGAAGCATATAATTGGAAAAAAAGCTATAATAATCATTTATAACAATTATTATAAATTATAATAATAATTAATTATAATAATCAATGTTTAGCGCCACCGATTCTTGAACAATTCTTCTTGAACGATTCTTGAATAATTATTAACAGTACTTACAAAATTATACGTCTTTCTTTAAAATCGGAAAGTGTAATAAATAAATTATTAGCAGTGCATGAAATAGACTGTGTTGCTTACTACCATTTTTTATCCAAAACGTATTGAAATTGAAGTAATTTTCTCCTAAAAGGCGCAAATTCTGAAATTTATTACTAAAAAACACTGTTTTGCCTTAAGGCCGAGGCACAAATATGCCGGCTCTCATGCTGGAGTTTCATGCCATGCTCGAGACATTCTGCATAACATGGCCCTAATGGGATAAAATTATTCTTATGGATTCCGAAAAAGTGGTATTAGAATAAAGTGACAAGATTTCTATTAACTTAGGTTTTGTAAATTTCAACTAAATCTTTAACCCTTAAGCTAAGCTTTTGAACTAAAATTAAATCGTAAACCAACAACCAGAAAAACTAAAATTTTTACCAGAACGAAAATATGTATTTAACCTAAAACTATTTATCGGTTTAACACCTTATATTTATTCAAATGTATTTCAATTAAAACTTCAAAAACAGTGTTAATGAACTAGAAAAAATAAAATTCACTGTTTATTTATTAATGTTAATTTATTTTTTAATAAATTAATTAACTGCTTTATTTACAAAAAAAAGGACTAAACTGAACGCAGCACAGAAGAAACAAAAACTTTTAAATAAAGCGAAATTTAGAACTTAATATATTTTTATTAATTAATCCAGTGGGAAGCCCTAATCCCAGCACTTTTTGTGAAAAAGTAACTTAATAATATAGGTGTAAACATATATATTTTAATATAAATATAAGTGAATTATTAATTCAAAGGTTACAATTATGATTATTATCACAATTTGATGACAAATTTTATTAAAATTGGTTATTCTTAGCAACTGTTCGAATTACACTATACTACAGTCTTTGGGTGTTTGAGATTGTTTATATATAACGGTGTTTAATTTATGTTTCTTACAATATTTGATTGCTACATACACCACTTACATCATTAGGTCCCATGGTGGAATTGAAAACTATACACAAATAAGAGTGTTGGAAAATGTTAAAATTCACCTGACTTACATTATTTACAAGAGTTTACACAAGCACGAATAATTAGCATTTTCACTTAATTGTTATGTATTGTGAGAATGCTTATATTTTAATAAATTGTTTAAAGTGAGCATTTATTCAATTTAATTTAGATCAGGTTTTAATATAAGCAAGATGACTAAAGCGGAAAAGTTAATCCAGAAAGCAAACATAATAGCTTGCGCTAATGTAAATATCATATTAAAAATATGCAGTGTTTTACTAGATCACAATAACACCATACTGCCAAAAATTTACAGTGGGCAGCAGAAATTTAAATTTTTTTACAATTTAAGAACCTAGTAATAATTTCCACTAATACTGGGAATACTCGTGTGAGATTTTTGATGTTGAAAAATAGATCAACTAAAGGACAAAAAGATTAATGTTGTAAAAGAAGTCTTCGGAGAGATAAATATTAACAGTAGTGACATACATGAGGGATGCCAGAAAGCTTGTTATAAAGAATGCAATTATGGTTTTAGTCGGAATATCAAAAGAAATGGAAAATTGAAAAAATTTGACTGTTTAGTGAGATAAGTTCTTTATAACTACTTACCATATGAACTAGGTCTAACTAGCTCAAATCATTTTAAGTAATTAAAATTTATTTTGAATTCAAACAAAATTTATCGTAGATATAACCAAATCGCTTAATTAATTGCTGTTGTCAAAAAAAGAAAGTCATCCACTACTTCTGTTCCATTCAAATCAATTAGCTCTTATGTTAGGAACACAAAAATATTCAACTAAAAATTTTTTTATGAAATGTCAAAATTTGCAATAAAATGAAAATTACTATGATTGCTGATAATAAAATAAATATTTACAATAATCTATTATTATTATGTTGAGGGTAGCATTTTCACTCTGTATTAACTGCGAGGTTTCTTCATAACTTCTTTAGCACGTTTGCAAATGTATATTGTATGCATTTCTCAGGAAAAACGATAGTTATTTCTTAATATAAATCTAGTTAATTAAGGTAGTGTAAGTATGCTGAGTCATCATAAGCTACTGATTTGAAAATTGAATATATTTATTATTTTTAAATTAATCAATCTTGTAATTAGCTTGAAAAGATGAGTACATGAGACTGAATGCTGTAATAAATTTAAGTACATTATATATCAATGTTAATATTAAGTATGTATAGTATATTACATGTAATTCCGATTACAATATTTTGTTGTCAATAAAATGTTGTGAAGAATTGCAAAGATATTGCATCAAATTATATATATCCACTATCTAAGACAGATTCAAGTAATATAATTTTGCAGTTAAAAATTTTGAATAATAACTGACAATGACTTATAATCTAGGAACTGATCTTATATTATTAGTATAATTATAATAAATGTTATACAATTTTTAATGAAAAGTTATTGGAATTGGTGTGTAACTCGACTTAACTCGAAATATGAAGGATAGGCAACTCTTAAGTTCTTCCAAACATTGTGCTTGTGCATTGCGTTATGACCTTTTTTTAATAAGTGTTGTACAAATAATTGTTAATAAAATTTTTAAAATGCAAATTACTTAATGTTTATATATCAATTTTTATACTTTATAAAAATGTGTACTAATTCAATTTTTTTATTAGTGCTACTCAGTTATTCAAAATTTTGAACTACATAAATGCAGTAAAAATTCATTGACAATTCTTTTAGTCTTTCACTAGTAAATACATAAATACTTATAATCACATGTATTTGTTTTATTTAAAATTACATATATTATTTAGTACACATGATTATTTTATTTACTACATATATTTTCTTATTTATAAATACATGTTTTATTTTATAGATGCAGTGAATATCTAAATAAAAATATATAAAATATCTGTATAAAAAATTTTTAACACAATAATTTAGTTGATATAATTGGCAAAACTAATTCGTTTGTGTCACACCTTTTTAGATTTCACAAAATTTTATTGGTTTGTTTATAAAATCAACTTGAACAAAACAAAAATAAAATTATTTTCGTTATTTTTAAGAGACCTAAAATGTAAAGTTAATATGTATATTTAAAAAAAATTACAGTATATCAATTTTTTATAATACTACGTTTATATTGTGAGATTAAGAAAACGAGATTAAGTAAATTTGGCGTTTACATTATATATTGGAGATTAATTTTGACGTTTCTCTTGTGTTTTGTTTCATATATAAAGCATTTAATAACAATTTTGCACAAGGAAATTGTAATATAAATTTCATAAATAGTTTTATAATAACTAACTTAACAAATTTTAGTTATAAATATGCAAAACAAAACTATTATTAAAAAAATTTATTAAATTTTACAAACTTTGACAAATTTTCAATGTTTGTTTTGAATAGATTTTGACATTTCTTTTCCAATTCTTCTAAAATCGTAAAAAAAATCTACGATATTAAACCATTTGCAGAGTTGCACAGAATCATCATTTTTAGGAGATTAAAAATTAATCTCGACCAAAAGGAGATTAATTTTTATATGGAAAATCTGAGACTAAAGAATAAGATTAATATTTAAATCTCGATAATTCCTTGAATGTACCCTTAATCACACAATGTAAACGCCGTATGCTACCAATATTGCAGTAAACTTTCGTGGTTAACATTTAAAGAGTAAAACGAACTATAATATAATATTGTTATTAATATTTGTTTTTTTTTTAAGTAAAAAGAAATTTCATATTTTTAACACTAATTGTAGTTAATGCTTATGGTGAGTATGTACAACACATATGAAGTCAAATTTATGTAGTTCTGCGTATGTACTCTTTAATTCCAAGTAATGTGGTAAAAAGCAATTTTTACCATATTGTGATTAATATGTAAATTATTTCAAGTATAATATATATATATAAAATATGCAAATATAATATTTATGAAATATTTAAGTGAAATGTGTTGAATTTTTTTTTGGGGTTATTATTAAATTTTATTGATATGGCAATGCTCTTTCGTTTATTAACATATCGAAAGTGCAGCATATTGACAGCATCGTTAAGTAGATTTTGTGTTTACAGAAAAAGTGGCTATACTTGCACAAGCTTCTGCCAAAATTTATATTTAATTTTTTATCTTCCCATTTGTTTACATGAAAATATCCAAAATTACGTCCGAAACGGCAGAACAACAACAACTGAAAATGGATCGGCGCAAAAAGCGTACGTCGACCAATCAGTATATGATGTATATAGACCTGATGGAAAAAGACCAGATATTTGCCACACAGCGTGTGCCCCGTGACACGGATAGCAATTATTTGACTAAGAAATGGAAGGAACTATCAGCAAAACTGAACACATGCCAAAATGGTCCCACTTTGACTGCAGAAGAGTGGCGTAAGGTAAGTTTATTTGCATTAGCATTGGCGGTATGTTAAATTATTAACTAAAAAATATTTTTTGTTTTCAATGCAGCGTCTAAACGATTGGAAAAATACCACGCGATGTAAATATCGACGTAGTGTGTCTGGTGAAAAGGATATATCTCTTACATCACTAGAATTGAAAGCATTAGATTTATTTGGTAAAGCGCCAGTGGTACCAACAGTGCCGGATCAAATGTCATTGCAATTAAAATGTGAAAAAGATGCTCAAGATGGTGATGAGGAATTCGAAACACAACGTACATCGGAAGCTTTTCAAAAAGAATTACAGGCTGCTGTTGAGGAAGCAATAGGCGGTGATGACGATGAAGCGTTAGGTGATGAGCACGACGATAACGAAGAAATACTACCAGATGAATTGGAACCAAAAGTGGAACACTCTAATACGGGCAATGGTACAACAACTACTTATAGAACGATTGTTGTTGAGAACACGCCCTATACTGATGAGAGTCCAAACGAAGAGGATCATTTAGAATTCATAACACATCGCAAGCAAATAATTGGATCGACTGCTAATAGCGCCGTACCAGGAAATGTGCAAACAATTGTACACACAGCGCCCGCAACTACAGTGACAAAATTAATAAATGGCGATATACCATTGAAAAGACTACGTTCACATGCACCGGAACAAATAATATACGAAGGTAATCTTAGAAAAAAAAATGTTTTAAAATTTGTTGACATCCTAAAATTTGAAAAATGTTTTTAATATGAATATTACTATATTTAAGTAAGATTCACCTGAACACAATCCAAATGTAGTGATCCTAGACCAAAATATGTTTATAATAACGATAAATCATACTAGAAGCTTGATTAGTCTATTTCAGTTTCAGTATATAGTGTGACATGTTTCCCTGACATTCTAATGCGAAAAAGCAAAGTAAAAAAGCTGCAATATTATAATTGTAGTTCCATGTGCAATGATGCCACAGTCGGTAGTCATCCTTCTATTCTTCTAAGTGTTGTTTCTGGTATAAATGACAGTGATGTCTTTAACCTGTGTTTCAACTTAAGAACAGTGACAAATAGTAAATTCCCTGCTTAAGTTTTAGGGTCTATCATTATTCAGTTTAAGCAACTACTCTTGTAAAAGTATATCTCAAATTTGTATTGTTCTACATAACGTTTAGAAATTAGTTCCATATAAATCATTTTAAGCGTTCACATTTTATTTGAACAAAACAATCTTTAAAATATTCTATGACTATCGGATTTTATTAACACAAGTCTTATGTTGGTATTGCTAAAGTGTGAGTTTTTTGATATACGAATTTTCGCTTCTATTATCTGAATTATATGCCATTAATTGATTTATACTAAATTGGATGAAGAAACTGGGCAACTTTAATGAGGCTGACGAATGCAATAGGGACAGTCAGAATGCAATAGGGACAGTCAGTACCTTTATTCTTAGTTTTCATGACATCGGTTAAATGATGTGATCGTTTCTATTCACTAATGGGATTAAACGATCGTAATTTGCTTTACGATTTCCCTAATTGGTACCCTTAATGAAGTAGCGCGGTATATGCCACTTTCTAGTGCAAACAAGTTCATTAACTTAAATGAACTTGACTTAAATTCAGAGTTTAATTTTCACCTCAGTTTAAAAAATTGTTATTATTATATTTTATAATCCATTTCATTAGAAAGGCTACTAAGAACAACAAATTACGCAATAATAAATTAACTTAAATAGGTTTAGCAATGTATTTTATCATTCTCTACTGAAATACATTAGTGGGGTCTTTGTGTCGAAACCACACGTCAATTTTGACGATCAATTGCCTTTTACTATTCCCAAACTGTCTACTTATAACAACAATTACAAGAACAACAACAATTGAAATACACTATAAAAAAATCTCCCACTCACCCTATATCCTCTTTTATTATACATCCCGCTTGTAAATCTTACATGCTATCTGCTTTAAAGAATCCAGAGGGTTACTACAACAACATATGAAAATCTAGTAAGAAAGTTAGTTTGAAAAGTTGGTTGACTTGGTTCGTTTAAGTTGTGATGCCTTTATAAGCGCCTTTGTACCATTTAGTTTCCACATCCTTGTTACCAACTGATTGCCCGCTTGTTTTGAAACCTTTATTAAAGTTGCATAAAGCGTGCAGATATTATAAAAAAAAACAAAATGTTCCAAATGATATCTGAAAAAAGATATCATTTTGAGTATTTTAATTAAGGAAATCAGTTTATTTTATACATTTACTTGCGTTATTAAAAAAAAATTAAAATATATTTGATTTTATTTTATTTTAGTGAAAAAAGCGCCTGTAACTCAACATCATACACACCGCATTACGACTATACACAATAGCACACCAAACACTATTACACATCATCATCAACAACACCAGCAATCACATACACACCAGCAGATCCAACATATACAGGAGGCTGCTCCCATTGCTGAGACCAGCCCCATCACTTCTCAGGATGCACGCGAGCTAACACGACAACTGAGACGTATTGCGAATATTAAAGCAGAGAAGCTAAAATTTGAGATTGCCAGATATAAATTCAACAATCCAGGATTTCAATACAACAGCCCACAATTATAGTATCATTCTACAAATCCACATCAGAATGACTGTAAAAAACAAGTAGAATTTAAATTAAATAATGTTTTGGTGTATCTAGGCTAAGTTTAGTTTAAATAATAATTCGTGTGAATTATTTTTATTTACGTCATAATAGTTTATAGACTTTAACTTAAATTATTTACTGAATTCGCTGAAATTTACAATGATATTGTATTGTATAGGCGAATAACTCGAAAAAATTTTATTCTGATTATTCAGATTTTTAAAATGCAAACACTTTTAAACAGACCCGACTTTACTTTTGTTTACCATTCAGTTATGTCATATTGAATAGATATAAATATACATAGTCCTTCGACTCATTTCGGGTGGAGGTACTTAGCTACTTAGCCTAGAAACCTCTACTTAGCTACGTGCCAGCGTTTAAGGTACTCTTAAGCTTATATAAATCTCCAAATCATTTATAATGTGAACAATATAAATCAGTTGCTTCGATTATTAAAACATTTATTTAATACGAACAAAGAAAATAAATTCTAAAACAAACAGAATATGATAGAGCCTGAACATATTAAGTATCAAGTATCAGAAACAAAAAATGAGTTCTACTCACATTTTATACACTTTTAATGTATTTTTATTATGTTTATATTTATTACTATTAATACCCTTTACACTATTGTGTATAATTGTATATTGAATTTATCAAGATGTTTGTAACGTAGTGAATAGAAACATCGGAGAATCTAAGATCTGTTTGTACTTTTGATCTACTTGTCTAGTCGATCTGGACATTTTTTTTTATCGATGTGAAGGGTACTTGAAGCTTTGACAAAGCCAAAGCTAAATTTTCTATTTTTTATTTAATTTTTCCTTTGTTAAATTTAAATGTGTTTTTATACAATAGAGTAATATTATATGTAACAACCTGTATCATTTAGATATATAAAGATTTCGACACTTGACTTTTTGTATTTTTAAATGTAATTGTATTTTATTTAAAAAATTTCTAATCACTTTTATTTTAAGATGTAGTCATATATAGTAAAACAAACTTCTAAAAGTATGAATATTGTAATAAATTAGGTTAAAATTCGATTATTAAATTTTAAATAAATTTTCTTTATAAAATTTCTTATTTATCTTTCTTGCGCGAACTATATGTTATATTTTATATAAAGTAAAATTAGCTTGCCTTTTATATGGGAGAACAATAGTGATTAGTAGGTGTTAGAAAGAGTCCAGAGAGAAATTGTTCAAAGAATCTATAGTTCTGTAAGTTCTTAAAAATGAATATTGTTTTAGATAGAATGAAGGGCTGTATGTGCCATAACATGACATTGACATAATTAAGTGTTAGTTTATATCGTAAAAGTGAAGGAAAATGCTCCTGCTAGAAAGGTATTTGATTTCTAAGAGAGTATCAAGCGACAAATGAGCTTAATCCAATCGTTACTATCAACTGACTACAGCAAACTGTTACTGCGCGTGGTTCAGAAGGATACTGAAAATCTAAAACCCAATTGAGTAAGTAATTTTTATTATACCATATATTCTTTCTAGCCAATGCTGGTAAAGATGATATGGGGAGCGAGGATGGGGAAATAGTAAGGGATGTTGAAACTAACATGGATTTAGATGAAGCAACCTTGTCGCCATAATAAGGGAAGCCATAATACCATAAGGTTTAAATAACATAAGTTTTTGGAAGAGAGAATGTATACTATAATCTATAAAATCTTTTGTACTATATCTTTGGTCTATTGATTAATCTAACAACGTGCTTTGGTTGAAACATAAACAGCGGGAGATATAGAAATTATCTGATAAAGTGCAGGATTTTAGCAAAGTGGGTATGCTTTGATCAATATGTTTTAGTTGTCGATAAATAGTGTATTCGGTATGTGGACTTAGTCGTTGGTGGTAACGCTATAAGGTACTTATATTTTTTGATAGAATAGTGAGTACAATCTAAAGACTAAAAGCCAATGCAAAATTATAAAAAGTTAAACAAACAACTATTCAAAATACTATGAATTCAATTTCAGAATAAAAGTAATGAATGTGTAAAATGACTGGTTTGAGATACTGCGTATCTTAAAGTTTAATTTTCATTGGGTCGCGAACTGAACCTGCTTGAGCGTGAACAATTTTTGTTTGTCTGCGAAGAGCATTCTTTGAAGATAGGAAAAATGCAGTCTTCACTGTTAAAAGAGAAGTAATAAAAATTACTGGTGACGAGTCGTTCATTTTATATTATTTTATTTTATTTTATTGATTGTGGAGATATTAGTAAAAGTTTACACGACGCGTGTAAGATGATTAATGAATTTTTCTGAGTAGGAACGAAACATTCCCATTAATATTTTGAATAGGCTAACTCAACTTGTAGCTGAGGGTGTTGTATATAAAAAGACAGTCTTCTTCAGATTACATATAAAAGGAGGAATATTTTATAAAATAGAAATTTTTATTATTTTTTTATTTGATAATTTATGCACAAGTATTTTTTTCATTTTGTAATATTTTAATATAAATTATGTAAGGTTACATTATTACATGAACTTGTACGGAGAGGCGTATCTAGTTCTCAGACGTCAAAAGCTGTTATAACTTTTAAGTAAGAAGAAATGTGTACGTTAAGTTTGTTATGATGTGTGTAGTGTACACAAGAAGATAAAAGAGGTCATGTAAACAATAAAGTAAGGATATTTCATCTCATAGATATATAATCTATATATAATCTGTATGTATATATATCTATATATAAAATGTATACATATATATGAGAATATATATACCTTATATCTATATATATAATATAAACACAGGTTTAGATACGAGATTATCAATTGTAACACATACGATCAAGATTTCTATTAAATTTTTATCTTAATATATAATGTTTGGATCTTACCATGCTATTAGGTGTGATATACACCACATTATTCATCATACGGATATATAGTTTATTGGTTTCCGGAGATATTGCCTTATATGGATTACCTGTTTTTTTTTCTATAACGCTGAATACTTTACTAACCATAGTATTTTCTTTCCCACATTGTTTTTTTTTTCTCGATTATTGTAAGTTTAGAAGGATATGGGTGCTCTCATGCTTATTACCACTCGCAAATTCTAATCATTCTAAATGTACAAATTGCGATAATGCAAAAATACGGAAATGCTTTTGTTGCTTAAATTTAAATCTTCTTTCGGTTCAAGACCAAACATTACTTAAGCACTTAATTAAACTGAAAGTACGTATCTGCATAGCCGTAACTGTGCAGTTGCATGTCTCCGCGTCGCTTCAGTGTTGGATGCACTTTTTAACTGTCAGTTCGCCCTGTAGCCAGCAGGTTCGTATGTGCATTAAAAACTCAACTCTTGTATTGCATTTCCAGTTAATGCAACAAGTGCCACAACTGCCGCAAACTGCAATTGATCATTAACCTGACGACTGGTTCGCTTCGAAGCTCATATTCGCAGCTATTTTCGTTTGGGTGATTACCGGGAAATTTGTTGGTGCATTAAGTTGTTAAGTTGTTGCCCTATACAAAGGTGCGGGTGGTGTTAGAGAGCAATGATCTCACACATGCAATTAGCTTAAGAATAATGTTAATGTGCTCACATTTTCAAAAATGTTTATTACACAACAGAAATTGCCTAGAAATACTTGTACCATATAGCGAAAAATGAATCTAATATTTTCGGTTTTACTTCATAAGACATATCTGATCATTTTGATTTATTGGATAAGTTAAGTTTTTAGTTTTGTAAAAATAATGTTAAAATGGGAATATTTTTCCAGAGGAAATCTTTTGTTAACGAAACTTGGTATTTTCTTTCCGGTGAATATTAGAAAGACAATGTAATATTGTAAATAAACTTAAGACCAATCCTAGTCCAAAAACATGTCCCAATTATAAGAAAAATCAAAGGAAAATTTAATTCAGAATTTTGAGAAATAAAGGTTTATAAAAAGAATATGAAAAATACTTGAAAAAATCTATATACGTATTTGGGAAAGCAGAATAGGTTACTAGAATAAGAGGGCGAATAAGAACGGCGAAGAATTGGTATGTATTGAGAAACTTGAGTATATCTATTTGTTAAGTTAGGTTATTATGGTAGTGCCAGAGATCCATTTAGATGTGTCAACTCAATCAGATGCTATATAAATCTAGTATATGACTGTTTGAAATTATGTGTAATGAAGCCGAACATGTTCTTTATGGGATGATTAATTAAATAAAAAGTAAGCAATCTGTGTTGCGCATTCACTGAGTAACAACGAATTTCCTAACTAATAAGGACTCGTCAGCTAAACCGTTATGAGAGCGCGCTATTTCAATGAGATCGATTGATTTTTTTCTATTTCAACTTAACAAAAATTTTTAGAACATTCAAAAACTTAGGGATATTGAAAAAAGATTGCGGAGAAGTTACAGAAATTATTTCATTATTCGCAGAAAAAATTAATCTCTTCGGTTTCTTAATAAAGCTTAAAGCTTAATAAAGCAACTTAACAAAAATTTTTAGAACATTCAAAAACTTAGGGATATTGAAAAAAGATTGCGGAGAAGTTACAGAAATTATTTCATTATTCGCAGAAAAAATTAATCTCTTCGGTTTCTTAATAAAGCTATAGAAAGATAAAAAAAGTGAAATCTAAATAATTAGGAACTCATATTAGCTAATTGCAAATCATATCAAGGATAATTCAATAATGTAGAGTAGAAATCGGCAGGCTAAATTAATTCGCAGACATCTCTTTCATATTGGTTTCTGACCACAGGAAAGTGTAGCGTTTCTATGAACATCTTCCTAAGGGTACCAGTATATGTTTTCGTAGATACTGTTAGGCGAGGCTCCTGTTTCCACTGCGACATGTAAGGCATTTTGATTGATCTGGCCTTCATATAATAAGACTAGATCGAGGTAACTTTTACATAGGGACGAGTCCACACTGTCATGGAAATTGCAGTTTTTACAGGTGAGTGTTGTATAGGTTCCCACACAAAGAAACACATACTTTCTTTCATCTTGACCAACCTAAGCAATAGATATTTAATGGAGTGTATTCTTGAAAGTTTATTAGACTGCTCATCAGTAATAACAA